GCTAAAAAATTTATAAAAAAAAAACTAGAGGATGTCGTGACGATTTGCTAATGCAATGCGTAATGGATTCAGGTTGCGACTAATGGATTCAGGTTGCAAGAAGAAACTTGAACGAAAATGAAAATCATGTATATCTATTTTCAAGATGCGTACAGAGCGCTATCCTATATTTCACCTTGCCAAGGACAGCTAAATGAACAAAATAAACGGAAGTCTTGGAAAATGTTGGAAAGAGATTGATCCGCGAAGACCCTGGAATCTAATTCTCTCGGTCATTACCTGCGCGGCGATTCTCCTTCTTAGCATTATCGATTAGCCTCACACGTCTTCGGGCGCCTCGGTTCTTGTTATTCCGGAAAGTGCTCTTCCGGAAGCAGCACACGTTCGCTGGCTACCTGTACTAAAGCCAGACTATCGTTCTTTTAAATGTCTTGTTAGTTCTTCTAGTGTTTATTCTGTTTTTACGATGTAAGGAGACGCTGGGGCATGCATTAAGATCCAGCTATTTCTCATCTCGAGACTATGTGCAACGCACAGAGCGTACCGTGACCGAAATGACATGTCAAAAAACGTTTTTAATGTAAATACCAGACCCCTAACAAAAAAAAGAGAAAACATGTCGTACAAACGACCTACATGTTTGTGACTCGTATAATCGCCCATTTTTGCAGTGGCCAACGCATATGCTCTCCCTTGAGTGGTAAAGTCGCGAAACCAAGTTTCTTGGACGCCTTCGTTCTGGCGTGCAACACCGCGTGTGGCCCTACACCATTCTAAAATCCTGCCAAGACGGCAAACCAGTGTCGTAGCCAGGGGGTGGCACACTGGGACCCTGCCCTTCAGCCCCCCGCCCCCCCGAAATTTGTTTCGTCATGGCATAAAGAGCGGGAAATGACCAATTGAAGGGGGCGCCCCTAACCTCCGAAAAAGAAAATTGGGATCCTTAAACTCCTCCTCTAAGAGTTGAACGCGATAGTTATATCCTGTCCCTGGTGCGTACTTCAAGCACCTAGTGAATCAAATAGCTTCGAACTTTCTATGCCTTAAGGGAATATATGCGCAATAAAGTGTGGGCTTTTTGTTGTATGTGATCGGCTTCAAACCATGAAAAACATTATGATAATCACGTGTACTGACGCCCGATGGCAATGTTCGCTTGTGCCGTGCTTTATTACTGCAATAGTTCGCGTTGTATTCCGAACCATGTATACAAGACGCGTGTGTTTGGGTGAAGCACGAGTTGCTTTCGCCGCATTTCCAATCAGATGAAGTTATTTTCACCGTATGCACAAGCAGACGCCGGGCTGTGCGGTAGATCAGCTGCTTTCCACGCAAACGATCCGTTGTCGATCCTTACTCGTAACCAGAATTTTTGTTATTTATTTATTTACATCTTTCTCAATTTTTCGGTCACGCACAAGATTTCTCGCTCACAACCAACGACGCCGAGGCCGACGCCGGAATTTCTGTGAAGCGAGCTCTTTAACGCTATCGAGTTCACAATTTCTGGCTTCCCCCTGTGGTGGAGGGGAGCACTAAAAGTACAAATGGCTCACTCCACCACCTTATTATTAAGTGATAGTCTTATTCCATGTTTGTAAAGAGTGGTAGGAACCGCCGACATACTTAGGCGCCTGTAGCGACGTTGCGGGACGTGGGGTCCACCTAGCCGAAAGCTCGTCACCGCCCTCTGTGATCACGTGGCAACTGGCACGACAGCACTGTGATCGCGAGAGTGCGCGGAGGTGCGGGGCATCGAGGCACTAGCGCGCGTGGGCACGTGGCGGCCTCCCGCGGCGCCTTCGCTAACCACGCAGCCTACGATGCTCAAGTCAGCCAATGACCGTGAATTCGAGTATGTTGCGAGATATTATCGGCGTATGGCACCATCTGTAGTCAGAAGAGGGAACGATTTATAGCTAGCTTTGCGAATTGATTGAAATTACCAGGCCGCATGCCGCGCCACTACGGCGGGATCGTCTGTTCTTAAGGGACTCGACTACATATGGGCGGTGTTTTCTGACCATGCCGAAAAAAAGTGTTCTAGAGCCCCTTTACGTGAACTTATGTCCTGATATCCTATATTATTCATGCATCTGATGTAAGTCTTGACATAAACCGGAGCCATTAATTTCGTACCACTTTTTTTTTCCTAAAGCGAAGTTGCTGAATATTCGGGAAAGCGGAAGTGTACGACTGACCGGAAACGCTAGGAAGAAGACAATAGTGTCACACGTTGGCTGTACTACTAAAATACGAATAATAAAGTCGCATAATGTTAGTTTTTCCGTGCGCGTCAGCACTGCAGCGCTCGCTGCGCTACGCGCTACCCCATACTTCTTCGCAACTCACCATGCTCTGCGAAAAAATAAAAGGCCAAGCCTGAAAAGAAAGGCGTATGAATACACATTTGGCGTTAAATCACAGTTCCGGGGAGGTAAAAGAGCCTGTGCAGAAAAAAAAATCGCCGTCGTGGGTTGTCGGGTTATATATGCGATTTGGTGTCATCGTACATGCCGCGTCGTATTCGAGCACCAAAATAACTTCTTCTTGGCCTGTACTTCCTCCGTACCTAAGCAAGTATTTGAGCACACTCGCCCCGTCGGCCGCTAGCTCTATATACTGTAGCTCGTAATCTTTCTTTCATTTTTTTTTTCAAATTTAGCACGCTCTTTTTGCATTTGTATTTATGATGAGGTTTCGACTGTGTTTACATAATGGACAGGATGCTCATTCCGAATTCAGAGCTGTCCATCTCTCGGGAGGCATTTGATTATGGACGGCCATGCGATCACGCGAATGCATATGCGCGTTTGATATTGTTGCGTTGAACTTTGGGCCCGTAGCCCTGGTAAATTGATGGTCTTCGAATTTTAGAAGCTTACTGAGCCGCACCACGTTTTCACGGTAGATTTTACGCGTCGTTATGCGTGAACGATGGCGGGGTCTCAAACGTACTCTCCTCGCTGTCATGAGGATATCGTCTACTCTGAGGGAACCAACGCATGCTTCTTTTAGTCTCAAAACTCGCCATCTATGTCCGGGTCGACTCGCACGTCGGAGCCTCAGACTTCACACGACTTCGACGGGACCGTCGTATACAAGTCTGAAAAGAAACACTCCGACGCCCAGTGCCTGTCTCGTGTCTTGTCGACCCACTGCCACTCGATGACCTGGATGACGACTGCTTCTTGGGAACCTTGACTGCCGACAGCGAGCTGACCCGCAATTCAGGAACAGCGCGATGGCCTCGAAGTTTTTCCGGAGAAGACTTTAGAGTCGCTTTTCCTGCGAAACGGAGTTATTTAGATAAAACTTACCTTCTCGTGGTACCTTCAGCACTGATGCTAGAAGTCCTTGAGGTCCTACATGCCTAACTTATGGCCGGACACCTCGGTGTTTCCCGCACGCTCGCAAGGATACAGAAAAAGTACTACTATAGCCACGACTTGTCGCCGAGGTCGCTTGTTACGTCAGGACCTATACCGAGACTGTCAACGACGCTAGACACCGCCGACTAGGCCAGCCGGACTTTTACAGCCCATCGAGCTACCTCCGTTCCAGCGAATCAACATGGACTTGCTGAGGTCGTTAGCAACGTAAATGACTGGTCGTAACATGGCGCAAGTTTCAATGACGCACAAGATAGCGTACAGCATAAAATGTGTTCGCAAGATATATATATATATATATATATATATATATATATATATATATATATATATGGAAAAGTGCAAAGAGCCTATAGGTCTCTATAGTCACAAGACTCGTTGTTTCGCACAATATTGACCTCTGCGGTAGCTGCAGATAAAATTCTGCAGCCAGAGTTCAAGCACTTACAGCTAGCCAGTGCGTTGTTTTCAAAATAATAAATGGCAACACTAGAAAGTTTCTTGCGTGAAGAGCACCCATCTCAGTGGTCCTGCAATAAAATCCTGTGCAAGGAGAGGCATTCGCGCACGCCGGAAAATTTTCAGCCCCTGCAACCGTGGACATTCTTGGTGAAAAAAAAATGCAAGCAAGGAAGCTTGCCACGTAACTACAAACATTAGCTCTTCTTAATGGCATAATGAAATTTTAGAACGAAAATTGATTGATTCCACCCTGTCAAAAGCTGATATATATTGTGTTGATATAATATTGTCGCTCCTGTTTTTGTTTGTTTTTTCTGTTTATGAGCCTGCTTCATACAGTGTTCGAAGCGAAAGAACAAATCAACTAATTGCACGCGTCTTTATATACATTCTTCCTGTATGCGTTCACTGCGTGTTTCGTAAGTTGACTGTTTCCAAAGTGCGTAGTTACCAGCTTGCGCAAGCCTCGCCCCTCACAGATTTTCAATATTTGCATTGGCTCAGCAACACCGATTTCTCTTCTTCTTGACTTCAACTTTTCTTTTAACTTCTATCATCGTCTTCGTCTACTTTGTCTTTTTCTTACCTTCTTTTTCTTACCTCCTTTTTTACCTCCTTTTTTCTTAACTTCCTTTTTCCTACCTCTCTTTTTTCTTACCTCTCTTTTTTCTTACCTCTCTTTTTTCTTACCTCTCTTTTTTCTTACCTCTCTTTTTTCTTACCTCTCTTTTTCTTGCCTCTCTTTTTTCTTACCTCTCTTTTTTCTTACCTCTCTTTTTTCTTACCTCTCTTTTTTTCTTACCTCTCTTTTTTTCTTACCTCTTTTTTCTTACCTCTCTTTTTCTTACCTCCTTTATTTTACCGCTTTTATTTTACCTCCTTTATCTGACATCCTTTGTCTTACCTCTTTTTTCTTACATTTTTCTTACCCCTTTCTTATCCTTTTCTTGTCTACTTTTTCTTATCTTTCTCTTCCTCTTAGCTTTCTATTGTTCTTACCTTCTTTGACGTTTTTTTTTCTTGAGGCCTTGAGGCTATCGTCTTCTCATCTTATTCATCTTATCACTCTTTTCCTCTTAACTTCTTCTTCGTCTTTATTTATTTGCACTCTAACGTAACACGTTTTTTTTCGTCTTTTCCTTCCAGCTTGCGACGAAAGGTGAATCTCACTGCATGCGACACGCCAGCAAGCCGGACAACGACAACAAGAACACCTACAAGAAGCTGCTCCCCTGTAAGTAATTACACCGTCATTAGGTCGCTAATTAATCTTTCATTACGATGTGCGGAGCTGCTCGAACGCGTATATAGTGCTGCAGGTACAGTGCCTCAGGTCGTCATTCCAGAATGCTCGTTGTGCCCATGGGGTAGCCAACTGAACGTGGTATACAGTTAACTTTTCTACTTTTATTGCTGCGTGCTGGTGTATTGACGCAGCGAAGTTTATGCTGCAGGCGCGTGGCGGCATGCGCAAGCGGTGGAATAAAACACTTCTCGTGTGGCAGCTTGTTCTCCCTATCCGCTAAATCTTATTTTCCTTCTCTCTCTCTCTTATACACATAGGTGCGCGCAGTGTTCTCACCATCCCCCAAATTTAGGCACTGCGCCGTGCTCCCGACCGGGTTGCAGAAATTAGGTGCCTTTTCTCATCTTCTAACCACCACCACCCCCAAATTTGTAAGGGAGAGGGGGGTGCTTTCGGAGGTGTAGGTTAGAAGTAAGGAGTTCTTGGAATGTAACGTCAGTAGCCTTCGGTCGCCATTGCAGTGAAGGACCTTCATAGCTGTAAACCTGCGCTATGCACAACGAGGGGGGGGGGGGGGAGGGGGTCTGACTGAAACGTATAGGACATAATTAGCGCTCCTGTGGTGCATATAAATAAATACCTTTAATGCTGATATTAGATTATTATAATCAGATGTCGGAGCGGTCGTACGGCGCCGGCCAGTCATTTCTCGCAAATAATATGTGTAAACCTCGTAGCAATGAAAAGGGAAAAAAATATGTAAGAGAACGGGTAGGCGAAGTTATTTGAAGTGCATGCGTTCACAGAACAACATCCAAAAGCGCACAAAATACAGTACCTTCACATCGATGGCACTACTGTTCACTTAAAATGCACTTACACGAACAATGTCCTTGCTGTAAATAACACGACACAATGTCCGCTCACGTACCAGCACCGGAATCGGCAAGGTTCTGTGACGTTTCCGCAAACACGGACCGAACCCCAGACCTTTCAAGATGTTTACGTTAATTTCTCAAACCCACGCATGAAAAAAAAAAGGAAAAGAAAACCTTCGGGGTAACGAATGTGCATTCCGGAGTGGAGTACCTGGAAGGATTCTGTCGACTGTTCTCGTGGGCCTCCCCGTGCAAACACCAGGACCGGGTCGCACTTGTTGTCTACGGGCAGTATGACAGTGTGCGGTGGCAATGCTCCGCGCGCACCCTTCAGATTTGTGGCATGGGGGGGGGGGGGGGGGGGGGGGGGGGGCAGTGGAGCACATTTTGTTGGTTCGGTGAATGCGACCCTGCTGCAGCGCCTGTGCCGGGCCCGGCCTGACTTTCCGTCAGCCTCCGTGGCTCCAGGGCTCATTACTGCGTTCTGCGCGGATGGCCACCCGCAACGTTGAATGACGAAGAAGCGGCGGCTGCGGAGAATTTCGCGGGAGACACCGAGTTCCATGGAGGCGTTGAGACTCGATCTGACCATCGGGTCATCGGGTACCAGAAACCGGGGCAGTTGATTCGGTCGGAAACATTTCGGCACAACACTGCAAACTCCGGACGATGGCCATTACAGACGACGCGCTTTGTCGGAGCATTGGGACCATTGTTCGCCCGTAATTCACGTGTCTTGCGACAGCTCGCCCATCTCTCTCTCTCTGAGGCTTGAGTTTGTACATTGTTAGTTGCTCGGCTTTGCTGGGGAGAGGGTTCTCCACTGATGTGGGCCGCGGGGCGGCAGTCGAAGATGATACACTCCGACTGACAAAAAAACATGGCGCGTCGATAGTGGCGATTGGTTTGGTACCCCGGTAGGGCGGAGTCGGGTCCTACGAAAAGGGACTACGAGAAGAAGCGAGGGGAGGCAGAGAGACGAGGTGATGAGACCGAGATGGGAGGGAGACGGAATGGAAAAGGAAGATAACGGTGTGAAGAGATAGCGATGAGAGTCGATGAGATGATGACTGAGGCAGGGATGGTATGACGAGGAATGAAACTTAGAGATGGGAAACGAGGAAGCGAATGATTGCGGGACATTATGAAAGAAGATTAAGATGGAAATCGCTGAGAGAGACGACGAAGACGATGAAGACTGACTACACGGACCATTCGTGAGGCGAACTTTATGCACCCTATTTAGACGAGCTTTGCGGGAAGGGAAGCGGCGCGTTGAGACATTGCAAGGTTTTATTCATTTACAACTTCATCATTTGTGTGGTCGTGTTTTTTTTTGTATATGCATATCCTTGTATTGTTGCAGATACTTTCTTTATGTGCCTGCCCTGTGTCGAACGTCGCGAGTGTCTAAACCATGTGTTATAATTTTGTGTAGTGGTTGATGTACGCGGGTATACGATGTTTGCAGTTAGTAATAAATTAAATGAACCAATAAACAGGAACAGGTCGTAGCGTCTTCCATTTCCCGGTCCCAACACGAATCCCTGTGTATGGAAAGTGGTTGAGACGTATGGCCAAGAGGGAACCGAGAAAAGGGTTGGGGGGGGGGGGGGGGGGGGCTCTTCCTTCTCTTTGGCGATCGGTGGCGTAGCGGGGACGTCTCAGTCCAGTCATAGGGATTCGGAACGAGTTCGCATATGACGCGCGTTATGATGAAGTGGAGGGGGAGGGGGGGGGGGGTCGCTGGAGCGGCCACTCACTTGCAGCCCTCTTTAGAGCACGCCTGTGCGTTTACTGTCGAATTTCTTTAATTCGTTTTTCAGAGCACAGCAGCCTTCACCTTCATTCTGTAAAAAGTGCGGTCGGGTTCTTTCAATATCGCCGCAGAAAAAAATAATAGGTGAAAGATGGGTATGTGCCAAACAGAGCATCACTCATGTGGACGGGCTAGTGCTGTGCGCGTAATTCAGATATCATCTGCATTCGCTTGACGCGATTTTTATTCCATCACGCGCACACATTTACCTCTTTGATCTACGTGGCTCGACTTCCTTTTTGTTTTCGTTTTTCAATACATAATATATACTAAAAACATACACAAAAAACAACGAAAGAACATTTTTTTTTAATTCGCAGGAGTTTAAACGCCGTATGCGGCAACATAGAAATGATGTTTACGCATCAAAATAAAGTTTAAAAAGTAAAAAGGCTCCCCTCTAAAAGCGAGGACGCTTGCGTATTGTTCTCATAACTTTCTTCGCGGTGGAATCAATTGAAAGGGAGAATCGTGATTCCTGTTTGTTATTCTTTTCCAGCTATTTTTGCGACTATTTCTTTCGGAAAAAAATAGAGAGTTAAACCCCACGTGAGATGTTCTGCGTTGGGGACAATGAGCGAAGCCAACGTTCTTATTTCGTGGAGTCGTTAGAAGCAGACGCGAATAAGAAAGCATGTTTCTTTTTAGTTAGTTAGAAGACGTTCGCGACAGCGTCGTTCGATGAAATTCTCTCTCTCTCTCTCTCTCTCTTTGGTCGACGTTGACACCGCGCCTCTTTCAATTCCAAGACCGAGCAGCCGAAACCAATAGCGTCAATTTTCCTAAATGGCGCAAAGCCTTGCTGATAACGATGAAAATGCGCGCAAATGACGTTGATGTCGCCGGTGGGGAATGTCATAATGCGGGGCTTTGCTTATCGCTGAAGTTCGATGCGTGTGTGTGTGTGCGGGGAGAGGGTGTAGAGATAGAACGAACACAATTTTTGTGAGCGAAGTGAACGAACGGTTGCGCAGACTATGGAATGGCAGAGAGCGTTCGGATCCTTCGCGATGTTAATTCACTGTGGATACCATTCTTATCTTTGTTAAAAAAGCCCCACCGCGGTGGTCTAGTGGTTAAGGTACTCGGTTGCTTACCCGCAGGTCGCGGGATCAAATCCCGGTTGTGGCGGCTGCATGTTTCGATGGAGGCGAGAAATGCTGTCTAGGCCAGTGCACTCAGATTTTGGTGCACGTTAAAGAGGCCCAGGTGGTGGTCGAAAATTTCAGAGCCCTTCACTATACGGCGTCTCTGATAATCACATGGTGGTTTTCGGACGTTAAAACTCCACATACAAATCGAATCAAAGTCGGCTGCTGACATGAGGGTCGCCGGTTCGACCCCGGCGGTGGCGATCGCATTTTGATGAAGGTGAAGTGCAAGAGGCGCGTGTACTTATGTGTAAAATATCGATAGAGATCTCCAGGTCTACGATATTCTCCGAAGCCCTCTGTATTAGCCTGCATATACAGGGTGCATGTCCCTCATAACTTGAGCCAAAAATTTTAAAATGGAAGACACTTCAGTGGCGAATTGAACCAAGCGCATACTATTCCCAATAACCTGTAGATACTCAGGCTACTTTTTTATTAATCCCCATACTAATGAATTATTACTTTTTAATAACTCATTTTTAATAACTTATAGTTATGGGCTAGAAACCCGAAATTTGAACACTGAGATGTAGAGCACTTTCGGGAACAACCGAATAAATTGTTTCCTGAACTATATGTCCCGCGCTGTTATTTTTTTGAGGTTGTAAATAACGTCGCGAAATTGAAAAAAAAAGGCCGTGTGACGGACCGCCAGCGCACTGCTATAGTGCTGCTATATGCTTTCTTTACAACGCTGGAAAAATAAGTGCTAGCCGTATCGTTCAGGAAACAATTCAGTCGATGGTTTCCGAAAATTTTCTACATCCCAGTGTTGATATTTTCGGTTTCCAGCTCAAAATAAAAAGGTAATTAAGAAATAATAATATTTATTATGAGGAGAAATGAAAAGTAGCCTGAGTACCTATACAGGCTAGTGCGAGTAGTATGCGCTTGGTTCGATTCGCCTCCTAAGTGCCTTTCACTTTCAAATTCTTGGCTCAAATTATGTGGAACACCCTGTATACAGTGTCATCATCACCCTTCTTCCCTTTTTTTTTTTGTCATGATGCGTTTCGCTTTTTCCGACCACTTAGTAAAACGAATGTGTTCTTTTTGGTTGCAGATGACTACAACCGCGTCGTTTTGGAAACGCTACCCGACATTCCCGACTCCGACTACATCAACGCTACCCACATAGACGTAAGTTTCCAGCTCTCGAAAATTTTTCACCTTATGCATTTCTCGTGGAAGGCCGCGCGCTTATTGTGTGATGCCACGCTATATGGCTTTGGCGTCGCTACGTAACGTAGATCCTGACGTGAGCCCTATAAGACAGTTTAGGATGTGGTTTACTTTTTTTTTTGGCGGGTTTGCGAGCGTACGTTATTTACGAGCACGTGTGATTTTAACGCTGGTCTCCACATAACCCTTTACAAAAGGGGCAACCCATAACTGAAGACTGGTCGCGGGGCTCACAGCATGTCTAGCGCCGACATTGCAAATCCGGCTCTACATTGTAATATGAGCATCTTTTTTTTTTTGTCGAACTGCGGAGATGCATCATAGATGTATGAACACTAAGTAGTATAGTATTTGCCAAATGCCGCGGTTTAGTTTTCCCGGTAGGAGTGAAATACGAGAACACCGGCATGTTTAAATTTGGTTACACGGCAAGGCGCTCCAGGGTGTTGAAATTACAACGGAGCGTCCCCACTATGCTTTGACTGATATCTGAGATCCCGGTTCTGGCGCGTAAGACGCGAAAATGTGAACTTAAATCATATTATTTGCTTTCAGTTTCGCTCGTATCAGTGACGCGTATTCTCACGGGACGCCAAACGCTCTGGGTTCATTCACTTGACGGCGCCTCCACCACGGAGGCGCTTATAATTCAATAGCGGCGACGTAAAGTGATCTCAGAGTTCATCGAAATTCAGTGGAAGTCACTGGAATCCAATTTGGAGTTCACCGCCGGTTGCTCAACTCGAAGAGAATGCGTTTTATATGTGGTGGGTGGTTGAAACCTAAACGCGGTGCAGCCAACATTGTTTGCGTGTTCTTTATGTTTCATTTTTTTACATACTGTCAGTCCTAATGGGGACTATTGCAGGAAGGCAAACAAAATACACAAGAAATACATATACAACCAAATACACAATAGATACGCTCGCACTTAAATGCGAAAATGCGTGATTACAGATATTCTATGATGATAGATGAAGAGTATAAAAGCACAACCTATGTCTGGCAGATACACACGAAAATATTATACTGCGTAATCCATTGATTGCGTTCATTTTTTTTTCTTCTTAAACGTGTGGCCAGCGCATCAATGTACACCTCGATGCGATCACAAGCTTCACTATTGACGTTAGACTCCTTCGTACAGGGGTAACCAACGGCCTGACGCAGCTGGTGCTGCAGCAAGCACTATGACGCGGGTTCATTGTCCTGCGCGGCAGCTGCCTTTTTTATTACCTCGAAACGCAGAAAACAACCGTGCTCTTATTCCTACGTGCACACTAAAGAAGCTCAGGTAATCAATATCTAACACGTTAAAGTGGATGCGTATCTCGCTTTCAACGTGATTCTCGGCTTTTAAATCCATCAATCCGTAAAAGACAAATACGTTAAACCTATTTCTTTTTCTTTCTCTTTTTTGTGAAACTATGGGATCTCTTTCAGGATGTAAAAGTTTTCCTGTAAACTTTCCGGTACATCAAATTCACTATCTTTTACATTTTATATGACAGACATTCGCTTACACACCCCGGACGGCGGAACCAACTTTTTTTTTGTGCGTGGTATATAGGTAAATAGTAACACACACAAGGTGCAGTATATTTGCTCTAATTGCGGTTAACAACACGAGGTATGCAATTAACGCGGCAAATTGCGACATCACTACCCGCAGTCTCCTGCAACACATCTTGACTGTGTCGTCTTCTTTGACAGCAGATCCTGTACCACGTGTTGTGCATGCAAAGTACTCAAAAAAAAAAAGGAACACATCTAATCTAACCTTGCAGTCTGATGCGCGCTCGTGTGCAGCACATTCCTCTATTCCACCGTATAACAGCGTGCGGGTGGCGACCTCTCGTGAAATCGAGAGTCTCGTTTCCTCGGGAGCCATTAACATTGCAGGATATATATTCGCTTTCACATCTAAGCGTCCCTCCCATTGTATACATGCCTTACATTTTTGTTTCGATCTTGCTTTCAGAGCATTCTGAAGCCGAACGCCTACATCGCGGCTCAAGGTAAGAGTATATATAACGCCGCTTGTTATTTGTTGGGCCGGAACGACCTATGTCGTTAGCGAAGCCCGTTATACCGCCTCTGTCCAAAAATGTATACCCAAGCGAAGGTTTGTCCAGAGTGGACTCGCGGGTCCTAAGAGCCGTTTCTTGCGAAGTAACAAGGTGGGGCAAGCCGGAGGACCGTAGAGAAAAAGCAATGGAAATACCGAAAGTATGCGTTAGGCCCGAAGCCCTTGCTATGCGGGAGAGACTGGACCACTTGACAAGCGTATAGGGTGCGTCGTTAGGGATTCTGAGTAGGCCCGCGTTTCGGGAGTTGGAGCTTAGTTAAGTATGAGGGAAGGAAATACGTCACGTTGTCTCAGGTTTGTGTGTGTGTGTGTGTCTAACAATTATTTGTAACGACAATATAATGCCATTAACATCAACAGATTAAGGTTTACGCAGCATCTAAGTTCAGCTCTATACAAACGTTGCGATAGTTGAATCGGTACAACTAACAAAAGAAGGGTGAAAATATACCGTTCTAGTATAACTATGCAATATAGCATTAACTTCCTACTATATATATATATATATATATATATATATATATATATATATATATATATATATATATACATATATACATATATATATATAGCCTTGAGCAGGAAACGAACCTACGACCTTGGAATAACGCGTTCGATGCTCTAACCACTGAGCTACCACAGCGGCCTTCCCTCCATCCACTTTTTTGAGTTTATATGTGAATTTAGAAGTAGGAGTGACAGTCAGCGCCATCTATAAGCCAAGCAACGAGTGTGAAAACACTCTTATGCGAATGTTTGGCGTCACGTAGCACGTGAACTTATTATGAGTGGGCAGCTGATTAATTGTCCCTCTTATATATATATATATATATATATATATATATATATATATATATATATATATATATATAATCTGACAAAGGCCAGTTCACTGAGATTACTTCACCGCTTGTAGGACGCCGCGCCTGAATTCCAGAGCGCAATTAACTAGGCATGTGGCTTTTAACAACAGGTTTGCACGGAAATTGTAGAATGAAGGGTTTCTTTAGCTGAATGGTGGGTTTGCTTGACTTTTTAAAAAAGATTAAAGGACATGTTGGTTGTTGTAGTAGTAACAGTAGTTTTATCAGTCAGTGTTACTATGAAGCCACGGACTACCGCAGTTAACTGCCACATTAAATTGTTCGTTTGAGAAAACGCGAAAATTATTGAAACTGTGCTTAATCGAAAATCGAACTGTTTTAGTAAAACGTAACTGTCGAGGATCTTTCTGTGCAGGCATAACCACTTTAACACAAAAAAAAAATTATGGACACTTTGCAAATACCAAAGCATGTTTGAAGAAACGATATGGCCATCAGCAATCACGTAATTGCTGAGAGAATGTGAGGGGGAGAGGCCGCTACTGGCGCCGGTCCTTCGCACGGACGGACGGTCACCGCGAGCGTGAGACAAAAGTGCTTTCGCCTTAACATGGAGACTTAGGTGTACACTGTGGTCGTTGCAGGTCCAAACGAGGACACCATCAGCGACTTCTGGCGAATGGTGTGGGAGAAAAGATGCTACGTCGTCGTCATGCTCACCAAGGTGTTCGACTTCATTCGGGTGAGTTCCTTCACTATACAGAGTAATTACGGGTGCAGTTTCGGATTCACACTCAGCACCAAAGTTTGTGCGATTATTGTACGAAAGCATGCCCGTTACAGGCGCAGTTTCCTATATTTACGCTAGAGCGAACTTTGGCGCTAGTGTCTAAGCGAGCTGCGATATCACGGCGTTTCAGTCAGCATGGGAATGATGGCTAGTGCGTGGATTTGTGTCGACTTCGTTCTTTCGGCTCTATTTGGCTCCGTGTGGCCTTAATCTGCTTTGGCTCATTACGAAATTCGGCAAAGGTTCAGTAGTTGCACTTCACCAGCTTAACCTTTTTTTTTTATGCTAACGAATTCAAATAGGCTCATGCAGTTCGCAATAGGCTGTTCTCTTAATTCGAAGAAAAATTGGAACACAACAATAAACAAAGCCACTATAGTACGTTCTAAGCGCGCAAGTAAGAAGAGTAAGGCAATCCTTGCACTACCCGTCATTCCATGATGACTGAGTGATCGCTGCGCTGGAGTTTCTCTAGTAAATATTGTAGCAAACCGTATGGCTACGTGGTTGCTCGTGTTCAATTATAATTCTACTTTTTTTATTCTTGTAATTTGTCTATTACTTCTCCTGCTCAGTTGTCTGATGAGCTCTCCGTGGGCTCAGATTTGGGCGCACGTTAAAGAACCCCAGTTGGTCGAAATTTCCGGAGCCCTCCACTACGGCGTCTCTCATAATCATATGGTGGTTTTGGGACGTTAAACCCCACATATTAATTGTCTGGTGAGCTCTAGGCACATACCACCGGATTGAACTCCGGAATAAGCTGCTTTGCATCTAAAATCCAGGTGGCGCTGATGCAACTTTTTCTAGTGGCACCGATACTACCACCGCTGCTTCTGCATGCGCTTGCGTGCGTTTTATTGCGTCGTTGTGTAGACAGTGTTAAGTTGAGAGTCCGCTTTACAGCTATGCGGACGCAGCGTTCCATTAGGAATGTGGTGAGTAGCCTGCGTCCAGAGAGCTGCCGCGGATGGTCAACGCGAACACTTTTTAATAAGCGACAAATGATTTAGCGGACTTGATATTCAATTACAAGGTCACGATTCCGACAAAAAGTCGCAGAATTGCCGCAAAAACCAAGCAATGAGCGCGATATCAACAAATTGGAAGTTCACGCGAAGAATGGCAAGCAGATCGAAGCGTGCCCCGCCTTTCTCACGCACAAATGACGCGCGAAACGTAATCACGGGTACAGATGAACGCGAATAACTTCCGACAAACGGTACAGAACCCGCAAAACGTGCATAGCCGCTGTATACCTATAGCTGTGTCTCGTGAAGCTCTCTCGGTGGCTACGTAGACCCGTGCACGTGTTGTCAAGTTCATGCAGTTATCGACTACGTCAGGGATATTTGCACAAGATCAGTTTCACCGAAAAGGTGAAGCAATGAATCTGATAGCGACAAATTGCAATGTTATATGAGGAGAGGCTGGCAGTCAACTCGTTCAGATCTGATCTCACGTAACTCTATAAAACGCTGAAGTAAGAGAACACGGCCGCTCCAAGTACACTCTTGGCACCGTTTTTTTTTTTTTTTTTCGTGTGGAGAGCGCAGCCCATAGAAGCTCCCGCCTGCTGTGGGGACACAGGGCGCGCGCTGATCGTTACCGCTACTCGCGGCGGGCTATAGGTGGCAGCACCGTCCCCGGGAAAGTGGGGATCAGCGGTTGGCGATGCATATACAAATACATACGCGCAGTGGCGCTTCTTTGCGTGCGGTCGAGCTGATTTTTGGCGGATAAAATGCGTTGACTACAGTTCACTGTTAATGTCTACGCTCTTTTCTACCGAATCGATGCGCGGCGCCTATCCAATGTTAACATTACCCACGAGCAAAGCGCATTCTATCTTTCATAGGAACGCTCGCACCGGGGGACTCGTTTTCGCACTAAGTCACGCCTTTGCTGTGTTTGTACGCGGTTAACTTGTGTTCCGCCTGTCACGCACTGTGTGGCGTGACTGAACTATACTTATTTACGTCTTTGTCATCTGCATTGTACAAAAAAGAGAAAAAGATCGCAGAAAGCCCGCATATCTGTGCGATTAGTTCAGTACCAACGTTCGCACCTTATATGCATATTTGTATTTTTTTTCTCCTTCTGTTCACCATGAAATGTGAGACTGTCGAATAAGTCTAGTCGGGAAAGCTTAGCGGCGGACGGCGATTTGTGCTGCACTGCGTTTATCACGTGTACGCTCATCGTCACCAGTGAAAATATAAAAATCTCGTATAAGAGTTCTGCACAAAGCTTTCATCGATAAATTACGTATGTTTTTGTTTTCAGACAAAGACTGACTGCTGTTTTCCGTCGGTCACTAACAATGCTACACAAACACTGGAGACGGTGTAAAAAAGGTGAAATTTCTAGTGAAATTATTCGACATTATATATAAGGCATGCCGTCTGAATTAATTTTCAATAGCTGGGCGTTTTTAAATTGTTCTTAAATCTAAGCACACAGCTGCGCACAGTAACTCTGCCTCAAGTACAGTTTAAGTACCGATTTGTTACAGTTTATGTGATAGTAATATTGCTATGTATTTGTACCGGGGCCTGATAAACACAATTAGGGCTCCTCGCATGGTCAATAAACTATGGTCACTACAGTGCCGTAGTTGTACACCTACCAACAGCGCGCAAGTGTATGGCCTAGAGCGTGTTTTTTTTTTTTTTTACAACCGAGGCGCTATAAAACGCTGCATTCACACACCATTTAATGATCCGCATGTTTGGGAGGATACCAAGAGCATTTGACGGTGTGCTTGAGACAGAAAGGGGCACCCACTCTGAAATTAATCTGGTGAACGGAGGGTACGAAGACAATAAACAGCTCTCTGGGAAGTTGAGCTCGCCGATCTTACTACAATGCATTAGCAGCCGAGCGAGACCAAATGCTTTCGTACGTCGTTTCAGGCATACGTAGAAACAGTTACACTCGCGCTGATCTGACCGGACAAACTACGCTTTGAGAACGTGCATGACGTACGCGCACATAGAGAGAGAGATAAAGATACAAGGAAAGGCAGGGAGGTTAACCAGACGCACATCCGGTTTGCTACCCTGCACTGGGGAAGAGATAAAGGGGAGAAAAGAGGTTGCACAAAGATGAGAAGGTACACACAATCACGAGCACACTCGGGGAGCACACACAGTTCACAGGCGGTCGCTCAGGTTTGTTGACTTAAGGTAAAGAAGCAGTGCTTTAGTTGCTTTCTGCGCAACTGAGGCAGATGCCCAAGGTCCTAGTATCTTCTGCACACAAAATGGTCTGGGGTCAAGTCGATTCAAAACCATCCGGAGCTGGCATCGCTGTGTGTCGTAGCAAGCGCAGCTGCACAGGACGTGTTCGATGGTCTCTTCAGCTCCGCAGTAGTCGCATGTAGGAGTGTCTGCCATACCAATGCGAAAGGAGTACACCATTGTAAATGCAACACCCAACCAAAGGCGGCATAACAGTGTCGCATCGGAGCGGGAAAGTTGTGATGGTAGCTTTAGCTTGAGCGAAGGATCCAGTTCATAAAATTGACACCTTTGGAAGCTGGTAGATGACCAGAACGTGCGTGTGAGATCTCGAGCCAGCAGGTAAAGTTGTCTTGCTGCATCATTCCTTGATAGAGGAATCGGGACTATACGGGTTTCTTCATGGGCTGAGCGGACTGCATCATCGGCTAATTGATTTCCGGTAATACCGATATGTCCAGGCAGCCATTGATATATAATATCATGCCCTCGTGCTAGAGCTTCATGATGGCAATGTCTTATTTCTTGTACCAGTTGGTCATGACTCCTCCTACGCAGACTGCAAACTCTGAAGCGCTGCCTTCGAATCACAGAATATGACCCATTTTCCTGGACGTTCTTGAACGAGATATTGTAAAGCAGCCCTTATAGCAGCAAGCTCTGATGCCGTAGATGTAGTCATATGCGACAACTTAAACTTGATTGTCATTTCTGCAGCCGGAATCACAGCGGCACATAGAAACACGACGTGTGTAGCAGACGACGCACAGAGCAATCCACACTTCGCCACTTCGGCCAGTTGCCGCCAGGCGGCGACTCTGCTTTATCTCGCGGCCAATAGCCTGGCAGCCATAAGCCCCCCAACCCCCCTTCCCTTGTTCGCTCACGAGATAACCGCGTGCACAGACGACCGCGGCCGGAAAGGCGATGCTCGCTCCGCAGAAAGAGGAGGCTATAGTGCATCCTTCCCCGTATATATATATATATATATATATATATATATATATATATATATATATATATATATATATATATATATATATATATATATATATATATATATATATATATATATATAGTGTGTGTGTGTGTACGTGAAGGACGGTGGTGGTGATGGCAAAAAAATCACAGCGTATCAACGGAGTGAATGATGATTGGTGGGGCGAAGCGTCCGTCAGTGGGTCCGTGCGTCTATCTGTCCGTTCGTCTAGTGAACACTCCAAGTACCGCCATCTCGCATCTTTTCATCATATATTCATCGTATACATGTATCACCATCCAGCGGACATTCCAAGAACTAAACGAGAAGTGGCTGCCTACTACCACTACTGCTATTGCATACATCGGGGACGCACGACTCACGGCTTAAGGAGCTTCGCCGCTCAAAGGTAGCCGAGACTGTTCATATAATTGCTATCGCAATAAAAGAGGTTAACGATTTAGAGTGCTTGGTACTCTTTTACGGAGAAATGAAAGGGGAGGGGGGTTAGAAAAAGTGTGTAACGATTTAGAGTACAGGGTACTCTACTATGGAGGGCTTAAAGCCGTACGAGGGCGTTAACGTAACGCCGATGTTGTGTTTGAAAGAAAGAGGTTAACGATCTAGAGTACTTAGTACTCTACTATGGGAGAGCTGAAAGCCGTCCCGGATGCCACCAAACGAACGGATAAACTTTGCACAATGTTGTGTTTAGAAAAAAGTGGTTAACGATTTCGAGTACTTAATACTCGACTATGGGAGAGCCTAAAGCCGTAAGGAACGCGGAAGAGTGTAGTGGGATGCCGATAGAGCCAACAAGTGCGGTGAAGGTACATGAATACCACTGTTAGTGACCTGCTCAAACGCTCTGGGATCCATTCAAACATCCTTCAAATGGTTCACCTAAGCGCTACATGGCATGAAAGTGGTATTCAAGTGTAATTACAAAAAGTTGATTGCTAGCTTACGTCTGTTAAGCCAACATTCCACCCGACGTTTTTACGCTGTCTATCTGCCTTGCTATAGCGCATCTGAGTTTGAGCATGAAGAAACACCCAAACAGAACTGCGCTTTGGCAATACAATATTATAACGCAGTAACCTGCCCAATCAGCAGTACTTGGCTATTAGCCACATCCCCGATATGCGTGAAATAGCATTTCAGGGTACGCAGTGATCACTTTCCAGTGGAGAGTTCGCCTCTTTTCGGCGACTCTGCATTCACAAACGTACAATTTCCTGCGTATACGTGTGGCGAATGAGATGGGAAGTCGAGTCGAAAGCCTTTCATGGCTCACACTCGCGTCAGTCCGTTCTTGCGCTGGAATGGTGCCAGCCGTGGCCTTTCCCCCTCACCCGGTCTCGGCAATCACGTGATGGCAGAGCGTCTTGTTGCGGCAGTCGAATTCGTCGGATGGCTCCCACGCGAGAGCGCCTCCCCTGTAGCCCGGCCACAACCCACCCATTCGTGCGAGAAGTGAGGCACGTGCACGACGTCCCATTCTGACCGACCTGGTCTCAGGGGGCACTGGTGTTCGCCGAACGCACTTTGGAATTGGCTAGGAGTCCATGAGAACTATCAAGTCCATCATGCTAGGAGTCCAAGTGAGAACTAAACAAGCCAGACAAACAGTAAGATTGAAGTTACCCAAGCCAGACACACAGCAAGATTGGAGTTACACTAAAGCAGTGGGATAGCGTTAGAATGAAAGGAACTTTTGGTAGTTATACGAATGACCTTATTCTGAATGTATTGAGTGGATGATCATCATTCCCTTCTTCACTTCATGGAGGTGCTTTGCAAAAACATTTGCACCCTTAAGGGTGTATTTCTGTCCCATGGGCAACACCCTTTTAGTTGATTCAGATTGTAGAATATAAATTGAAATTACAAATTATTTGGAGTTATGTACACAGATTTACAGGGGAAATAAACATTGTTGGCAATGTAGTCAAAGTATACTATTGGAGTTCATGTTTAAATGTGTGCAATTATGATGATGATTTTAGCGTGTAGGGCAAATTGTTTCCCAATTTAATCACCGCGAAGAAGTATGACATTTTGCCATAGTTAGGGTTACATTTGGGTGAGAGGAAGTTGTGATTGTGGTCAAACCTACAGTGCTATTAGTATTTGTGAGTAATCTCGGATCACTTAATACATACACGAGCACTTTGATAGGTTGTTTAAATAAGTGTATGACCAAGCGAGAACTAAACAAGCCAGACACACAGTAAGATTGAAGTTACCCAAGCCAGACACACAGCAAGATTGAAGTTACACTAAAGCAGTGGGATAGCATTAGAATAAAAGGAACTTTTGGTATTTATACGAATGACCTTATTCTGAATGTAGTGAGTGGATGATCATTATTCCCTTCTTCACTTCATGGAGGTGCTTTGCAAAACATTTGCACCCTTAAGGGGGCAACACCCTTTTAGTTGGTTTAGAAACACTCTGAAAACGTAGGGTGTAAGGAGGCGTTACAGCCAACTTTTATAGGTGTTTATGGACACTTCTGAATTATGAGTGTCAACTTAACTTGAGCAATGCCGAGAAGTGAGCAGCGGACTTCAAAACGCCCAAGTCAGCCTTCGCGTTACATAGATGCTCAGGCTGTCTTGCTTGGTCAAGTCAAGAACGAGCTTCAAAGCAGAAACACGCTGCACGCCTGCTAACGAGGGTAATAATGAAGTTGTTCGCGTATAAGGCATGTGTTACAGCAAAAAAAGACCATACATTTTAAAGTAACTATAAAAACGAAGAGCCACAAGCATATTCTTGCCATTTTACGGCTAACGAGCGGCACGTGATGCTTGTCGCCACAGCGATGCGCAGTGTTGCTTCTGTAAAGCGTTCGTTTCCCGCTGGTTTTAGTGGCCACCCAAATGCGGCGCGTTTCTCCATGGTTGCTTGTTTGGAGGCGAAACAAGCATCGCGTTGGGTTCTTTCGTCGTTTTTTTTTTTTTTCAATCGAACGCTACGGCATGTATTTGTGCTCACCTGGCTCACGAGGTGACGCGATTTTCACGGTATTTGCCTTTCTGTTCGCCTGTGTGCATGCCTGAAGTGGACTAGGTCGCAGTTATTACGAAAAAAAAAGTTTTGGGAACGAATGTGATTCGTATCCTTTTGTTGAGCTTGGTAAACAAGAGAAAAAGCGGGGTCAAGACATTGCCCTCAACAGAATTCTGTCTCGCGGGGTGCAGCAGTGTATCGCTGCATGATGGTGAAGTGGATAAAAAAAAAAAAAAACCCCGTGATAGCGGCAACTCTTTTTTATGTGTGTGGAATTTTGCGTAGCGTTGTGCTACAGGTGATGCCTTTCTGAACGAGAAACAGCGCCTTAGACGGGACAAAAGGATAGACGAGGCACACAGACACAGCGCCGAGTCAATTTTGTACCGAAAGAGGCGGAAATTGTCGTCGTGTTTAAGAAAAACAGAAATGGCCGTTGCGGTTACGGAACACTTCGGCGTCGTCCCCACCGAAGCTATTAATACGCATGTGTGTGTAGTCGACACAGCCTGTAACACCAGGGAACTCAGCCGCTTCATAAAAGTCCCGCATAACTATAGAAAGTGCTGCCGGCTGCGGAAAGCGCACCAGCATTGCGTACAGGTGCTTTGCGATGAGTAGCGTAGCGTTTCCTACTGCACGGCAAACTGTCGACAACGGAATGCGGATGAGATTTCCGGTGACTGTTCGGAATGTGCCAGCGCCGTAAAACCCGAGAGCCATCAGTAGCATTAACACTGGAGGCACAGGCTGTCCTCGGTTGTCCGCACTTTCACGGAGCGGCAACATACCCAGCAGCTGCCGCACGGCGTTTTTCGTGAATCTGTATCGAGCGTAGAATTGTTCCTCCTCGTACAACTCCATCGGATTTCCTCGGTCACGTAAAGTGGGTCCAAGAATCTTGGGCAGGCAGTTCGCCTCAGAAAATGCTACGCTTATGAAGAGGCAAGCAAACTCAAAAGCCGCCACCATCCGCGCGACGGTCCATTCAAGAAGTGGCCATGTTCGAATAACGAGTTGTTAGATCAAGCATGGCCAGGCTAGACTGCACCTGCGCGCTCCCGACTTCGTGAGTAATCCCCCTCCCCCTCATCGTCGAGAACCCACATTCCACGGTTTCGCATCGACAATCTCCCTTGTGCCGGGTGCGCGGTGCAGAACATGCATTGGCAGGGTCGCTGCGCCCCTACCGCCGACGGGTGGTGAAACATACAAAGAAACTGTCCCACTGTATTCGCGATGATTGAGAAGGCCGTAAGGAAACAAGCGCGCGTAGGTGCAGTCTAGCCCGGCCGTGGATCAAGCTACACCCGTGTGAGTGGGCCAATACATAAAAGCACCCTTGGAACGATGGAACTTACATGTGTAAGCATACTTGATCAAACGAAAAGACACCCAGGAGGAAGCAGTGGAGACACACAGGACGGTCCTGTGTGTCTCCACTGTTCTATAAAACAGTTGATGCTTGGACCAGTTGGTGACGCATATTTGATGGAGGAGAGTGCCATGAAAGGGACATCAAAAAGGGAGGCACACAGGAAGAATCGTTTCCTCCTATGTGTCTCTCCATTTTTTGTCCCATTATTTGTGCTCCATTTGATAAGTTCTTATACATGCAAGTGCCATCGTACCAAGGGTGTTTTTATGTATTGCACCCCACTCGCACGGGTGTAGCTTATTCTAACACTCATAGTTAAGGGGTGTTCGTAAACACCATAAAAGTAGGGTGTAACGCCGCCTTACACCCTAGGTTTTTAGAGTGCTTTCAAACAGACTAAATGAGTGTTGCTCATGGGACAAAAATACTCTCTTACTCCCTTAAGGGTGTAAAAATGTTTGCAGTGTGCGAGGATTTTTTTCCTTGTAAGAACTGCCCAGGTCACCTTGAACTGTTTATGGGCCGCCTTCTATGCTAGAATGCACGATGCATAGTACGAAGCGCTCGCTCCTTGGTGTCGTCGCAGGTGATGTGCTGCCAGTATTGGCCCATGGAGTTGGACAACCAGAGAAGTACGGCGTCATTGAGGTGACGCTGCTCTCGGAGGACGCCATGGCGAACTTCGTCATCCGGACGCTGAGGCTACGAAAGGTGACACTCTCTGACGCGATGTCCCTACAATAGACACCTCGAGGACCGGAGCTTTTTTTTTGGGGGGGGGGGGGGGAGGGTGCACCTTTTTTAAATAGTCCTTTTTCGCTCTTCGAGGTGGGGGGGTGGCACAGGCTTGGTGTGCCACCTCCTGGCTACGATCCTGCTCGTGGATTTCAAACTCAGTTTTCCCGGCAATGCCAAAACATTTTGACAGACAGGAACCACCTTTATTTCTACTCGCTCCGTCAGACGATTGGAAATCTGTATACGTGTTGAAATGTTCCTTTTTTTTCTAGAAGCTATAATGGCTCTTATATTTTCGTAACGTCTAGCTGAATACACTCTATGCTTCGCTTCTTGGATACCGCGAAAATTTTGACTAAATTAAACGCTGCGACATTAACACGCCTTCGACATGAAGTTGCGCTACCTACACGAAGAGTTCGCTTCAGCTATAATATTTCTAGAAACATCTACGTCTAAATCAAAATAAGGCCATTGGTTTAAAGTCCGCCTCGGTGGTACAGTCGTTACGATGCTCGTGGGTCCGATAGTGGTCACGGCGGTTGCATTTTATTGTAGGCGATATTTTGAAGCCTTTATATGCTTTACCGTGTCAGGGCACGTCAGAGAACACCAGATGATCAAAATTTCTGGATCCCTCCAGCAAAGGTCAGCCATCTAGCTCATGAGTCGACTCGCTTGGACTCGGATAGATACGTGAGTCTGACTGAGTCCGGGTGAACAATATTTTGGTGAGTTTGAGTCCGAGTGAGTTTGGTTGAAGAAAATGTTAGGGAGTGTGAGTCCGGCTAAACAAAATGTTTGTTGAGTCTGAGTCCAAGTGTGTCCGAAGCGTAAGACATATTTCTCGAGTGAGTCCGTGAGTATCACAATTTTTGCCGGCCTGTGCCCTTTTCTAAGGTATGTTTTGTGACATCGCGCTTTTGACTCGTAGAACCCCCAAAATAATTACAATATTACTACTTGTAGAAACACTCAACCTTCTTTTTTTTCATGATGCGTGTCGAATTCCAGTAGTAGATACATATCAACTTTTTTCTGCTCCGAGTTGAAGAATCACATTCCAATGGCAGATTGGGAGCGTAAATTTTGTGTTCCAATGGCAGATTCAGAGCAACCGCAGAATACGGATTGCTCCGTGGAGCGAGAATTCTCGCCGCGCCGAAAACCGCGGATTTCACCGGATGTTCGCGTGATGCATTCTGTATACGCCCGCCTTTCATCTTATTACGGCCGGATGTTCACAGTCGCGGGCAGCCGCGGACGACTAGGGTGCCTTGATGCCCGCGCGCTCCGCTGAGGGTGAGGACAGCCGCGTCGTCTGCTACGACGGCCGCCATTACGGCTCCTGCCGTAGTGGGGCAGCATGCGAAGCGCATTACCGCTTGCGGTGCTCGCGTATGGTAGGAAAGAAGTACTCGTTGGCGAGCTTTTTTTTTTGGTGCAACTTGGACACCTCTTAGTGCTGTTGTTGCCTAATTGTTAAATGGAACAACGCACGTCATACAAACTGGTGGCCTGTGCTTGTACAATGCGCCAGGGGCTGACATAGACTGAATGAAATGAGCCACGAACTCCCACACCAGAAAGATTCGCGTTAAACCGTTGTCGTCGTTAAGACGGAGGGGCGCATGAACTTTTATTACTACGCTTGCTGAAAGGAATGCAATATTTGGGTCTTTGTGAATCAGCCGAATAGCAAAGGCAGGAATCGCTGTACTTTATATACTTGCGTGTGTGTGTATATATAACACACACACGCACACGCACACACACACACATTATCTGACATTCGGTACCACCTTCCCCTGCCTCACCATTTCATGCACTGTGCAGGCAGCATACCCGAGAGTAACATGCTTTACCAGTGTACCTTTATGAAACGACACCCACGATTTCAGTGAACAGGCCATTTATTTGTGCGCCTTAATGCTGCGTTGTCCCACTAGTGAAAATCAAAGTCAGATACAAGACAAACCAAATGCAGTACGAAATGAAATGTTTAAAAATAAAAATGCAAGAGTCAAAAGCGTGCCCACGTGAGCCGAAACCTTTTAAGCATACAGCTTATCTTGGCGTGTCCATTTCTCATGAGAGGTTGACGCCGGCACATGTTTTGCTTGCATGTCCATTGCAACTCCCGACTGGAACCTGCCGAAGGTGAATGCGCAGCCTTATTCTTGCGTACCTCTCTGTGAGCAGTCGGTATATACTGTCCTCGTGCTCCGCGCATACACACAAGCTGTGGCGGTGCACCTTGTTTAGATATGCGGTGAGTGAACGAAGCGGCGACTTCATCGTGACTACTTTGTCCGTGCACCAAGAGTTTATGGCAGCAAAATGCTCCTCATAGTCTATCGAGGCTTTCATAACTCCCTTGCTGGGGTAGATGAGGTTGCCTCCATCTGAAACGTACTCTTTCAGTGCTGTCAGCGAAGCATGCTCGTCGTTGGCAGTTCCAAGGAGAGCATCTTTGCATTTTGCGCACTTCACAGATGTCAAAATTCCCTTCAAATAAATCCTCCTAGGTAAAAGAGAATACTGCATTCTGTGGACGACAATCCTTCGATGAACAAAATCTCTGAATCATCGATTTCTTGAGCTTCCTTCTCGACGCAGGCTTCCTTCCCCTGGGATAGCAGGTCCACTAGGTACTCCCTGTCATCAAGCTCGTAGCTGGTCGTCCTCGGTGTATGCAAAAATTGGCTTACGCTCACCAGTCTCAGAGCGCACTTGAGATCGTAGGCATTGGGAACCGGCTTCATAAGCCGCACCACAGAAAAGAGGTTCTCTAAGCAGTCCTGCAGGAGCCTGCTCGTAAGAAAAAACTCATAGCCTTCGTCTCCTAAAAGAACGTCTTGGAGGCGAAGTACAACTGTAGTTGATATGAGTACACCTGCTTGCGACGGTTTCCAATGGGATGTGGCACCCATTTTCATAGTTCTGATGGTTTCTATTGCTGTGTGTAATGTATCTAGGGCTTCGGAGTACTTAGCCCTACTTCTCCGACTCAGGGCCAGTGTTGGATGCCGCGAAGACATCAGTGCATACCATTTTGAAATCAGCTCCATGAACCAAGCTGTTGTTTCTGCTTCCTGTTTAAGAACTCCTTCCTTTATAAGGAATCTGATATCTGGGGGAGCTTCCCGAAAAAGTTGTACAGCGACACCAACCTTCATTTTGGTGAAGTGGCCTGCGCTGGTGTGCATTTCGGATAAGTTTGGGGCTACCTTCAGTTCTCTTTTAGAATCTTCTTCGAGCACAGCCTGAACATATTCCAAGTTGACTTGTGAAGAAGGCAGGCCATGTTTGGCAACTGTGGCCTCACTCAACGTGAAAACTTCTGAGCTCAAGAGCTGGCCTCTGAGGTTCTTCAAGACGTGAGCCAGATCAGCAATGAAAAAAAGTTCCTTCCCGTCCATGCACGGATGAGGTATGGAGCACACCGTGGAAGAATCTCTGTGACTGGAAAAGGCGAATTCCCTCCACATTGCGCGGTTTGCCGAGCCCATGTCACATGTGATTGCGTGAACTCTCAGATATATTTGACTGCACAGCTGTACTAGTTCCAACACATAGTTTTTCAGCAAGCCGCCATCGATGTTTCTTCCGGTAAATTCATATGCAATCACCTGCTTCCATCGCTGGTTAAGTCCGCCCAACATAAATACCAGAGCATGAACCGCAGGCTCTTCAGGCTTCGGAGGAAGAGATATTCCTCCGAGAAGTGCGTCTTCAGCCCGATCTAGCTCAAACCCCGGCACTATCTCCATTTCATCCAAAAAAAGGACGCAGTCCTTTTCTACATCCTCCATGGTCTCGGCTTTGCATTTCATAACGTCTATCACTTCGTGAAGAACGCCTGGGAGAAACTTCAAATTTTGAATCCTCCGTGCAAGCGTTCTTTTGGATGGGAGAAGACATCCCATTTTTCTCAAAGTTTCATATCCGGTTGTTCCACAAGCAAACTTAATTTGAAGGCCTTGCTTGACAGTGTGCGGAGACCAAGAGTTCCCCAAGCTGCTGCTCCTTGAGAGAGCGCGTACTTGATCGTCGTTGAGAAATTTCATATTTTGCGAAATATTTGTTGCCTCAGACTCGAATTTTTGCACTTTTTTCTTGAGACCACTAATGGTGTTCTTGGCTGTGTCATGATGTTGCTGAAGTTCAGAGTACTTTCTTGTAAGGTCAGCAAGCTTCTTCTTCAGTTCTGCTGATTCTGCAGTAGAATTTGATGTCTCACCAGCCGCTGCATTAACTTCTCTTGAATCTGCATCACTAGTGTTCGCTGACAGTTCAACAACGGCGTCGTCAACTTCCATGGTGTCGTGCCCATAACACGATGTTCCTTGCCATGTAGATTCAGGAACGGCGTGGTTTTGTGGGGTCTCTAGGGTAGTTTTAACTGCAGCTGGATATTGACGCAGACCAGGAGGAGATTTGTTGGTCTCGTTGCTGGAGGGTGCAGGCACAGTTCTTTCTTTTGGTGGCTTTCGTTCCTTAGGCAGTGCTGCAAGCAGAAATGTATGTATTCATGAACATATTCACGCAATGCCAGTTCATGTCTAGCTTGTTAATTTTACAAATGTAACAAATGCAGCAGATACCGGCTTAGTTAATGACGTGAGGAAGACACTTGTCCTTCCCCCACCCTTTCCACAAGGGATAGGGGAAGGTCGTAAAATACCATAATTAAATTGTGCTCAAAATTTCTCCCCACAATAAATGGCTCTAATTCAAATTGGAGCTTCATATGCCAGAGCTACACGTGTGCGCCGTTGTGGAGGGCTCAACTGACATTCGCTCCCTATGCAGTTTATTGATTATTTGATTGTAGGGCTTAACACGCAATACTTTTTTGCAGACTAGTTGGTTCATACTTGAAAAATTGAATTGCTGCACAAACTTGAAGAAAAAAAACAAGAGAGACAGGAAAGAGTGCAGTTTTTTTTTTTTCAAGCTTAACACGCCAACGCAACACAGGTAATGAGGCGCACTGTAGTGGGGGCTCGTGCATCGTGGATCTCGTATACATAATGGTTTCCGTTTTCCCCCTTTGTAAATAACATAGCCACTGCACCTGACATCCTAGCAGTACACGACCGTGTGCTAAGTAGCGGAAAACTGTTGTGCAGTGGGTCATGCCTGTAAACACTGAAATCCAGACGTATATACAGTCATGACCAAAAATGCAAACAAGAAATATAAACCACAACACTCAAGTATCGCAATTTTTTTTTACATGCAAGTCAAAGTGATGCAACGTAATCACAAAAACAAAGTTGGGAAATGTAGCTTTCCAAACGCACTAATAGCGTGCCATTATTTGACCGTCTAATATTAGCAGTATTTTTCGATTTTGCGTGGTCTGGTTCACATTTTTGTGTTCGCATTTCCTAGCTTTGTCCGTGACTGCATTTCCAGAATTTATGCACTAATGTGGACGCAGCATATGAGGACCTATTTGGTGTTAGCTTCGTAGAAATCCCAGGTACATGGAGTACTTGCAACTGGTGCTGCTTTATGTAATGCAAGAAAAAAGTTCAATCTTACGTTTGAATGTGAACAAAGTTGGGACGGCATTTGGTTTCAACTTCTTCCAGCCATCCGCACGATGTTGCTCATAGTTGTTCTCTTCAAAGTGAGCCTGCAAATAAAACCAGAATTAAAAATTAACACACTGGCAGAAGAAAAACGAATGTCTGTCACTGTCAATAAACAAGATTTCATGTATGCATTCAGTATGATTCGCAGCAGGAACTAGCAGCAACTTTGAAGCACAAAAAGAAGGAAACTAATTGAGCTCACGCGCGCTTTCACGTAAGCCACTTCAGTGAGCGCGATCATAGACCCAGCCTGCTCTTATAATAACCCTTTCAATTTTCGCACTGAAGATCTGTAAGGAGTCCTGAATTCATGTGAATAAAATATTAGTCTATTGTGCCGACAAAGGACCAGGTCTGATTTTATAGCGAGCGTTACAGATTTCGTTCTATCGAAAGCTTTGTACCCAAGCCTCCAAGTTCCCAATGCAATCGAATTTATTTGTCAGGTAAAAATGACAACACTCCGTAACAGCGCTTGTTTTGTTCGTCACTGAAGTGTTCCTGATTCCCAAGTATACATACGACGATACACACAAGACGGGCAGAAGTCCGGCCTCGTAATATTACGAGTTTTTCGCAGGAACAGCATGTTTATGTTCAAACGGCTTGATTTCACAAGAGGCGTTCAAATTTCGACCGATCAGTGCCAACGCGTGCACGAATAAACATGGGCAGGCCTCGTAAGCGTTGTGAAATCCCCCTACCACGCACCCGAGCCTACCACGCACCCGGGCCCTTGAACCAGCATGAAATGTTATCGACACGGGGGCTTCCGAAGCCCCCGTACTTGACGCATTTTCTTAAAGCGTGATCTTTTAACACGAGCACGCCGCACAGTACCCTGCACGACGTTTGGCTGTCCTGCGTTTACATTGCGCACCTAAATAAAAAACAACGGCGCCCTAAATAATGCTGACCAGTCAGAATACGACGCACTAAAAAAAAAAATGTTTACTTACGCTGCATACGTGCGACGTATCCGTCGGTTGCCACTTGTCTCGTTTGATTTTAACGGTCCAAAGAAGCCTTCTTTTGGGGTCTCTTGGAAACCGGTACAACTTCCATCCGTTTCTCGAGTGATTCGAGCACTGCGGCACGCAGCAGCCGGGCATGGTGATGCGGAGATGGGTGCATAAAACTGTAAGGGAATGAACACTGCCCAACAACACCTCACACGCCAAGCACGAACTACCGGCCGGAGGCGCCAAAATGGCGGTCGCGCTGGCGCCGAAGCCGAGGCGGCGGCATCTGCCCTTGCAAAAGCTGACACCACTCTAAGCGGGGGCGCGCGCATCGAGACACTCTACGGACGACACTCTTCGCGCCCCCTCGTGCCATCTCGCGGCGCCTCGCTAGATTTCCGCGGACCAACTGCTCCCGTCGAGGCGGGCGCGTTTCTAGTCACTCATTTCGCAAGGGCCATCCCACTCTGATCTACGCGCTCCGTTTGGGACCTGGCCTAGCGCTCGTGATCTGCCATAGGAATTCAACGTAATTTCCAACAAACTTCATTCAAGCCGTTCCACTGAACGTTCGGTTGGAGTGTTTACTTGAATGAGTAAGTTGCACTTTATCGTAATCAATAACGACTGGCGTACTTTCTCCCACCTTCCAGGGTGAAGAGGAGCGTGACGTGTTCCAGCTTCACTTCACCAGCTGGGCGTCTCACACGCAGCCCTTCACCAACGCTCTGCTCGACTTCAGGCGAAGGGTTCGGAACCTTCACCGACCGATGGTCAGCCATCGGACCCACGATCGTCCACTGCAGGTACGCACGGTCTCGCACCAATGCTGCTGTGACCGAATCTGCCTCTACGGCGTCCTCAGTTGTCGGGTCCTCGTGGCGCGCGTGCCAAGTCCTAGAAGCTTCGTTTCTAGTCCACACAACGCATTCGTATACCGTCCGCTCTCTTGCAGTGACGGCTGTGGTCGCACGGGCACCTACATGTGCATCGACGCCAACCTGGAGCTGGCGGACGAAGACGGCGAGTACGACGTGTTCGGCTACACCAAGAAGCTGCGAGCGGCCAGGAAAGGCATGGTCGACACCGTGGTAAGGGCGTGTGCGCTTCTCTATTACTATACCGCTGCGTCCTTTTGCCCAATTTCGCTGCAGTTCAGTTCGTGGCCATCCGTGATGCGAAATTTCTGCGTAGGACGGAACGCTTCATGACGAGACGGGACAATTAAACGATCGGCAGCGTCTCCGTGGAGATGCTGCTGGAGCAGCGTCCCCATCGCTCGTCGGCGCACTAGGCGCTTGAAACGATCTTGTCCTCTTTAAGGACTAGGAGCCTTTGTGAATACCTGTGGCTATTATGCACATAACCACATAAGTGTCACATAAGTGTCAGCGCCACATAAGTGTCAGCGCGCTTACCGATCATTTCCTCTTTCGGGGGGCGAAGCTCCCTAAACCGTGTCGTGCGTCCGCGATGTATGTAGTAGTAGTAGCAGTAGTAGTACCAGTAGCAGTAGTAGTAGCAGTAGTAGTAGTAGTAGTAGTAGTAGTAGTAGTAGTAGGTAGCCTACCTCCACGGCCGGACCAGAGGAGCGGCACGTGTGCAACATTTTCGATGAGGAGAAAACCCGCGCACGTTAATCATAAAGAAAAAATGCCGCCATATCCACGAAGTGAATGATGATGAGTGGGCGAAGTTCCGGAGGTAAACCTGGTAAACCACGAATCCTCCGTACATTTTGCCCACTCGATTTTATTGCAACGCTCCCCCTAGCGTACGTCGCCGCACTATATCGAACGATGACACGCGCCATATGTGGCATCATTCCTATTTTATAACACCTCGCATCTTTCATAATCAACTACACGTACCGCCGTCTAGTTTATAACATCTTGCATCTTTTGGATGGACGGACGGACAGACGGACAGACGGACGGACGGACAGACGGACGGACGGACGGACGGACGGACGGACGGACGGACGGATGGACGGATGGATGGATGGATGGATGGATGGATGGATGGATGGATGGATGGATGGATGGATGGATGGATGGATGGATGGACGGACGGATGGACGGATGGATATGGCTGTACCCTTTAGATCGGGCGGTGGCTAGCGTAATACTTAGAACTGACAGAGACTAAAATCGGTGACCTCATTTCTAATAAAGTTTGCCTTGAATTCGGTGCTTACTAAAAAAACTAGTATCAGAAGGAGGCTGTTTGAGCACTATCTGACCAGAAAGGGTTGCCACGTTAAACTCGCTTAGCGTAACCTCCTTACTTCTAGCAAGGTTTAGCGAGAGTCGTGCCACTGTGCCATGAATATGGTGAACTAGCATATAGACGTGAACTACAGGCGGTGCAGCATGGAAAGTAGACACGAAGCGTAGGCCCTAAGAAAGTGCGCGAGTGCAACCTCTCGTTTAGTCCTTGTAATGTCCGCTAGATGGCGTGTACTTCTATATGCTGAATATATGATGAAAAGATGCGAGAGGGCTGGTACTTAGTGTTCACTAAATGGACGGACGGATAGACAGACGCATGGATGCACGGACGGACGAACGCATGGACGGACGCGTGAATGGGCTGAAGCAAGAATGGACGGATGGACGATTCGCCCCACTCATCGTCATGCACTCCGTGGATGCCTGCGATTTTTTTTTCCTTGCACTCCTCTATCTATGCCTCTCACGTTCTTTTTCCCTTTCCCAGTGTAGGCTATAGCCGACCGTACGGTTGTCTGGTTAACCGCTTTGCCTTCTCCATTTCGTATTTCTTCCTACTGTCTGTGAGCGCACGCCGCGTAGGTTTTGTGGGTATCGGGTTCGGCCGCTGATGCAAAGGTCGCGATGCCGAATCCCGACCGCGGCGCCCGCATTTTCGTTAGAGGCGATGTGCGAGAAACCCGCGGTAAATAAACAACGCGGAAACAATTAGGACGACACAGATGAAACAGGACCAGCTATTTGTTTCTCCCTCGTTGTTTTCGCGCTGTTTTTTTTTCTTTTTTTACTGGGAGTGTCTGCCAAGTCTAGAGTGCCTCGATGCGCGCGCCCCCAACAGAGCGCGCGGGCATCAAGGCACCCCTAGACAAGTCCACACGCTTCGCAATATACCCATGTTTTCCTATCTGTGCCCCACGTCAAAGAACCCCACGTAGTCGAAACTGTCCGAGCCGGAAAACTACGGCGTGTCTTGTAATCATGTCGTGGTTTTGGGACGGGAAACCCCGGATATTGTCACATTCCTATGTACGACGCTTAACCTTGGTTGGCGAGTTGTATGACTTCGCGGAAAGCAATTAGCATAGTTTGTTTTAAGTATTGAAAGTAAAATGACGTTCGGTATGTATACGCTTAAGGTATCGACAACCGTGGCGGCTTCTTTCTTTTTTCATATTATTTGCGATGATAAAGTAATTATTGAATCGTGTGAGCTGCCGTTGCGTGTGCCTTCAATGCCAGACGATCGTCCGCGATTCAGTATTTTTATCGAATTTTGCGTAATATAAGCCTTGCTGATGGTTTGTGTGTCGTATATCTCCTCATTTTCAAAATCGTCGAAGAAATCCTTTCAAATGTAAGACCAACTGACAGACAACTAACATTAATGGATCCTGATGGGTTATTGACGGAGCCCCCTAACGTAAGAGATTTTTTTTTTCATATGTGAATGCATTTCTTAGTCGGGTTATGTCAGGCGTCCGGCCGTGCCTGCGCGCCGCCAGCTCGTCTCTCTCCGCTCCCACTCCTTCTTCCATAGCAACAGCTGTAGGTGGGCGCGCTTATCTTCGCCCCTTAGCAACCGGGAGAAGTGGTGTGGGTGGAGTAGCGGAGAGTGAGTAAAGAGGAGGAGCGCGCTCTGCCGTGTGAGTGCGCTCGCATTGCGGGAGTTCGGTGGAGCGCCTGCGCGTGTGGAGAGAGGGAAGGAGAGGGTAGGTGCAGTTCGTCGCCGCTCCTTCTCTTGCCGTTTTCTTTCTCTCTCCTCAATGACCCACTCTCCCGTCCGCTCGCTCGTACGTATATTTATAAGTGAAGTGAAGCGCGCGCCTCGCTTTCAATCGTTCGCTGGCCGCTGATTGTGTAATAAATGATTACGGTGCAAATCCTCGTGTCGTCATCAATTTACGCCATTAAAATTACTACGCAGTGTACTCTCGGTGCAAGAAATGCATTCGCACTTCCTCACGACTCCCTTCGGGGAGGTGGGGGTAATTGTTTTGCTATCTACCCGTCTTGGCCTGGCTGGATTGCGATTTGGCACTTACACGATTATTCCGCATTCTCGCTTTATTCTAAAAAAATTAAGGCTTGAGGGGGAGGGGGGTAGCCTGGTATCCCTAAACAAATGAGGAGACTCAAAACCTTCAAGTATGTTCCTGGAAAACGAGAAGTTTCGAAGATAAGTTTCCTATGAGGATTTGAAGCTCAACATGATGACCACTGCCGGCTCTTCGAAACAATGAAATATTCAAAAACCCATTATGTTGTAACATATTCCGTCGCCTACAAAAAGAAAATATGTTGATCTTGCTTATGCTGTTTCGTTGGTTTACTTTGTTCTAAACCTCTTCGATCCCGCCTCAATTTATCTTCCCTTCCGCTCCCCGTAGGAGGCGTACAAGTTCGTGTACGAGACCTTGGAAGAGGCCTACGTGTGCGGCAAGACGTGGTTCCCGGTGTCCGAGCTCTCCGAGCAGCTCAAGTTCAAGTCGGCCAAGAACCCAATCACCAAGGTCAACGAGTACCAGAAGGAGTACGAGGTGCGCGTACACACAAGTCACGTGACTAACGACGAGCGACTTTGATTGGCTGGTGATTTTGGGTAGTGATGGGACTGTCACTGCGTCTTTGCGCCGTCTTCGACGGCACTTCAAAGCATGATCGAGCGTTTATACTCAAGCCTTAGCTATAATCAGTAACCAAGTGCCATTTCATGCGGCCTTTCAGCAACGTGAATCGATACTGAGAGCAAAATATCACATAATATCATCTATAGCGCCGCTTTATGGCGTAATCGTGATTATCACTTATGCGATGACTGATTACGCCAGAATTACCCTTGGTTGACTGGATAAACTTACAGTTCAACAACTGCAATTGAGTGCAAAGGTTTCCTTCTTTTTTTGTGTGTTGTGTTATACGAGCAACAACTGTTGCTTGATTGCTCCGATGTCGTTCTCCCTGATTGTTTTTAGAAAATCTGCAAGATGTCGTCCAAGCTGTCCATCGGCGACTGTGCCGGAGGTCATCGGCCCGAGAACAGGGACAAGAATCGAGACGTGGCCACCGTGCCACGTAAGTATTGATACTGTTATCGTAAGTTTTCTTCTCGATCTACGTAGATCTGATGTCTTATTACTATTAGTATTAGCGATCGCTAAATTGCGGAACGCAGGGTGTCTCTGGGTATAAAGCTTGCTTAATCGATCGTGTCTTCTTCCGCATTCCTTTTAGCTCGCTTCAAGCTGGAACGTGAAGCGTAAAGCCCGAAGCATGAACTATACGCAGACGTCGGAGATTGGCCGACCCGGCGTTTCACATTGAACTCGATGCAAGAGATTACTTTGCTCAAGTGCAACTGTGCAGCTGTTAGATTATAATGTAGATTTCAGAGGTGGATTAAAATGGTCGTGCGTTGCGCAAACGTCTTCAAGACGGTCTCTCAGGGCAATATGATAACACCAAGGGAATTCCGATTAGATTGAGTCGTGACGCTTGTAAAATTTTCGCCATGGTATTCAGGCGGTTCGAAGCATTCGAAGGTTAACTGTAAGGTCGCCGTAGATGCTCTCGATGTACAACAGTTCACGATCGTGAAGCTGAAGGAGATGTTGAAGTTGTCAGTTATGACGATTACTTCGCACCCGAAATGCTTTGGAGTTGTTCTGAAATGCCCGTGGTTTCTTTGTTCCTTCTATAGCTGACAACTTCAGGCCGTACCTGACGTCATTCCAAAGCAACGACAACACGGACTACATCAATGCCGTCTTCGTGGACGTGAGTATTTGTTTTATTTTCTTGTTTTTTTAATTGTACATAATGTCTGGGGACAGTACTGACTTTTTAGTACAGTGCCTTTTAGTACAATTGTCTTTTTCAGTACAGTCCTCTCTGCAGCATGCTCCATGATCCAGTCTTTTTGATCGCGTTAAACCCGCGAATTCAGCGGTAATATTTCGTCTAAACACTATTTGTACCTACTGAGGTGTCGCAGTATTCGATTAGTCTTTACGCTAATGAGAAAACACAGTCAGAAAGCTTGTTAGTTCTGGCAAGTCGCGCGACCCAATTAGTCGCGAGTAGCTACTCTGGCTGCAAAGCGACTACTTTGGCTTCGTTGCTGTCCTGTCGCTGCTATGTCGCTCCTGAGTTTCTCAGTCGCGCGACTGCAATGCCATACTTCCGAACCAATCGGGAACAGGACATCACCTTACTTTTCGGAGCAGTCAGCGCGAGCAGATGTGGATGCTGTGCGACTTCAGCTATACCTCGCATGGCGATCACAACAGCGGTCGCTTTTCGGTCGCCCATCACAAGTGGTGGCGGTAGCAGTGAAGACCGCAGGTGTGGTTGAGCCGAGGCGATCGCGTGCTTTCTTCGGAATTTCGCCTGCTGACTACGACTATTGACGTAAACGTAACGTCTCCACCGCCGACCACCTTAGTACACGATATCGAAAATGAAAAAAAAAACTGGCAGCTCGTTTGGAATCGCTTCTTTTTACGAATCGGCTCTTTTCTCCGGCCGTAATCATGTCACTTCCCAACCGCATCTGCAGGGCTACAGCCGTTCCAAGGAATACATCGTGACCGAGTGGCCCATGGTCCGGACCGCGCAGGACCTGTGGTCTCTGGTGTACGACCACGACTGCAACTCTGTCATCGTCCTCTGTAATCCCCCGCCTTCGAACGTGAGTCTTTCGTGCTTGACCACGCCAGTAATTCGCTAAATGTCGACTATTCTGTGCAGTATGGGCTAATTGTAACCTTCCTGCGGAAACGAAATTATATTTCTAAATTATTCGCGGGAGTCCCACGTGGCCCAGAAAAATATAAACACCTGAAAGAAAAAAAAAAGCCATGAATCAGTACTGATTCGCCTAACTGCTAGCATTGTTGTTAATTGTATTTCCCGAAATGTGTTGCCCAGAAAAATATAAACACCTGAAAGAAAAAAAAGCCATGAATCAGTACCGATTCGCCTAACTGCTAGCATTGTTGTTAATTGTATTTCCCGAAATGTGTTATACTTCAAGAAAAGAGTGCTTCAAATGTGAAGCGTTAAACACATCCAAAAGATTTCTTCATTTTTTAACGCTGCATAACGTCAGCTTATTTTGCGGCATAAATACCTGGACTAACTTTCTTTTATATATGGTACATTTTGTAAACGCAAAAGTGTCCATCGTCGGTGTTTTTATCCGTTGCTTTTTTTACAGGCGTACCCCTCCTTCTGGCCGACGGAGAAGGAAAAGCGTAAGAAGTACGGCCCCGTATTCACGGTGGACGTTGTTTCCTACAACCACTATCCGAAAATCAAGACCTGGATCTTCAGGATAAACAAGAAGGCACGTCGAAGCTGGTTTTATATTTACGCTAACTATTACAGGTCGTGTCTAAGCGTTCGCATTATGTTCAATGAACTGGTTGCTTCTTTGGCAGTGGGATACCGAGTAGTTACGTTCCAAAACAGGCATATGTAATGATGGTTTTGCGAGAGAGTTCATTTAAGGTGTCTTAAAGCGAAAGTATATTGTGTCGAAGATCATCAAAAACTGGCGCACTTCATTTCCGTCACGGAAGTGACGTCAGTAAAACGGCACGTAAGTATCTCGAACAGAAATTCAAAGGAAAGAAAAGAGCTCACTGAGCTACTTGGCCAGGGAAATCAATCTTAAAGTCCGTGAGCTTGATTATTTCTTCATTAAACAATACAGAAACTGTGCTCAGTCACAAATTAAGTGTCCACACCGCCTATAGCCAACGCTGTCCTCGCAGAAATATGCATCAGTACTCCATCCAATGGTGCTCACTCGTTTTTGTGACGTCAAGTACTCCTCGCACGTTTATAGCCGAGCTTCGCATCGCATACTTTTGTGTCGCTTTCTTTAGGCCGGAAACGTCACCGTTATGGTGAACCTTGCCAGAGGTTCTGACATTGCCGCCGAGTCAAACGAACGCTCGGGATGTAAAAACAGCCGGGAAATGGAGGCAAGGGCTTAAAAAGAGACGACAGGGCTCTGAATTCGCAACTAAAATCTATTGGAAGCCACGCGCACATACATCAAACAGCCGACTTAGTCGCGTGGAGCACCATGCGTGTGCGCTGCAAAGCAAGCAAGTTACAAAAAGGACCTAATCTTGGCGTACCCTGTTTGCCCTGCTGCGCAGACGCCACGGTGTACCACGAGACTAGGTCGGCTGTTTGATGTATGAGCGTGTGCCTTTCAATAAATTTTAGTTGGGAGTTCAGCGCACTTTCGTCTATGCTTCAGCTCTTGTCTGTATTCTTGTGCTGTTTTTACATCCCAAGCATCAAGAACCACCTAGCCCGACTTTCGCTTCTAGACAAAGGAACGTTTCCGTTAAATACGACGAGGGTTTATCTCTCAACCGTAGTGTTCATTCTAGCCTGGAAAAAAGTGCCCCCTTCACCGAACAAGTATCAGTAAAGCCCGACTCTCTTTCGCTGGTGTAGGGAAGGCGCGCCGTGGCTGCGTTGGAGGACCTCGTACATTTAACTTAGTTGCAACTGTTGCAACTGTCTACAGTGACGCGTAAAGAATGCGTAACGTGTTTCCGTTGTCGCTGCGTATGGCAGGTCGTGTCGCTCACGGAGCTGATGGCAGGCGTGAAGGCGGAGCCCAAGACGACGCAGATCTTCCAGATCACCTGCTGGCCCGAGCGCCACAAGGTGCCCACCTCCACCAACACACTGGTCGAGCTCATGAACATGGTCGAGAGGTGGCGCCAGAGGACTACCTACGGCCCCGTTCTCGTCATATCCACGTGGGTACTACCGCAACTGGCACTCGGCAGGAGCGGAGTTTAGACATTGTATTTATTGCACCAAATGAGCAGAGATCTTAGAATGAGGGCCAACATTACAACGGCCCAACGTCTTCCACTCCCTGTCGATCCACGCGTGCGCAATTGAGCTTTCTTTCACGTTTGTTGTTCATGCCCAAGTGATGGTTCTCTTTCTCGACGTTTACTCCACTCCCAGGAACGGCAAGAGCCGCGCGGGCGTCTACTGCGCGGCCAACGTTGCCATCGAGCAGGTGGTGGAGCACGGCGAGGTCGACGTCTTCCAGGCGGTGAGGACGGTGCGGAGGCACCGGCCGCAGCTCGTCGAAAACATGGCGAGTATAATAAATATTGTGCGTCACACACGCCTGTCACGAGTCGGGGTTAGCTCTGCTGCTCAGGCGTCGTGCTGTTAAGCTCGCCGACGGGGTAAAACACGTTATTATGAAACATGAAACGAACATGAGATTTCACTTCAAGTGTCTGTCGCAGCGACGTGAGGGGGGGGGGGGAGGTACACAGAGACGCTAACACTTTCAGCAATGGTCACTTTGCCACCTTCGCCTTCCGCAGTGTTCACAAGTATCTGCACTAAACTCTTTAAAGCACGCCGCTCCAACGAAACCAGCAGCCAGTTCGTGTTGTTTTACATTTTGTTTACATATTGCGGGTAACATGATTCTTATACCTTACGGGTTGTTGCTGTTGTTGTTCTTGTCGTTATTCTTGTTTGTATAGCCGCCTGACGCTTTGGAGTCGCCAGTATGCCTTCAAGAATGTACTGCGAATTCGTTTTTTTTCTCTCATAGATACTAACTCGGCATAGCTATATGTGTGTGGTTTTTAAAACTGTTTTTACGCCTTTTTTACTCTCTTCTTCAGACCGAGTACAAGTACTGCTACGACCTTATCCAGCACTACGTGCTGCACTACCTGAACAAGGAGTGATTACGATGGTGACTTGACGACATGATTTTCAATCAAGCAACTTAAACTTACGTAAACGCCCTCTTCCGCGAAAGGAAGAAGCAAGGAAAGACCTGATTCGTGACGGGTGTCGACGAACAGCTATATATATGATGAATTGTAAGCAATGGTCGCCGATCAACTGTCACATCGATCAACGGTCACACCAGCCGATGGTCACATGGATCAATCAATGATCACACCAACCAACGGCCAACATTCCAAGCGGCGTCGTCATGGGATGACAATTGAAGTCTGTGCGTGGACTGCTGTTCACATCCTTGAAGAAGGCGCCGGCCTGTCATCCTAAGTCTTCTGCTCGCCGCCGTGCTGCGCTGCAGTGGAAAAACTTTGTTTAGTTAGTATTGCTTTCCCGTGGTTTTCGTACCTTGCAGTATTTTTCTTACGAGGAGAGTTTGTTTTTTTCGTATTTAGTGTGTGGTTCGTGTTGGCCATACGAAGACAGCTAGGGGCGCCGCTGTGGCAGCATTCGTTGTTCTGTAGTCCCTACAATACTGGTTAAGTATAACCGTGGCGCTGCGATCGCTCGGTTACTACGGGAATCGTGTTTAGTCCATGGACTTGTCTATAGTCTTCGGGCTTGCGGCGCCGAATGCACTCGTGGCTTTGTTTATTGCGTTTTGGCTTTCGTTTCGTGTAAACATACCACTCATCGTGAACTTTGCGATCCGATTTCAAATGGTGACCCTAAATTGATGATCTGGAATGAGTCAGTCTTTTTTTTCGACAATTACTACTTTTAAAAGGCGAAAAAAAAATTAAACGTGGAGGTGAAATAAAAGAAGCATATAGGCCAGTCAATAAACATACGAACTGTTCGCATGTTGGCTGTAGTCCCGTGCGTTGCAACTCCCACACGCTAGATTGCCTTCTATAGTGCATTATATGAAACTATATTGCTGTTGTAACTGTCGAAGCTGCACTCATTTTTTTAAAGCTCCCCTTTGGCTATCGGCGCTGCCTCTAGCAGCTTTCTTGACTGGCTCGAAAAACGTCGACGTGGCGGTATTCGACGTGTTGCCATGATAATGGCGCATGCCACCATCGAAGCCGGTTTATACTTTAACCGGCGTTTATGAAACTGGTTTGGAGCGTTACGTTGCCGGGGTCTGTTGTCCTTCGTACCGCCGCTTCCTCGACCACATCGTCAAAAAATTAAAACGAATGAAAACTGCTGTTATCGCTATAGTTTGAAGCTTCGTCGGTATAACTCTGGGGGAAAGAAGGAAATATCGTGACCTACGCACGTTTTCAAAGGCGGTCACTGTTTCTCGAAACTTGCAAATGCTAACATTATTTAGCCTTAAGGGTGAAGGCAGTGTAGCCGCGTTTTGTGTGTAAAAGATCGTGCTTAACCAACCGGCTTCTCGCCCAGCCTTCTTTTGCAGCAAAACGCAGCTCGCACTATTGATTTTTTTTAGTCAAGTTTCGCGCCGATTCCTGCTATGTTTTATTCCTTTCCGATTTGCCCGGAATTTGGAAGAGGCTTGTGGTAATCATGTCCATTGAAGCTGCGTATTTCACCATCTGCGTATACGGTGAAAAGTCTAAACACACTCGGCAAACAAACACCGCCGAAGTCACGGAATCGGTAGTTCAGTGTTACACGCGTGTCGGCCCGCTCCTTTCTTGGATATACTGATTAAGTATCGTCAACTTTACCGAATAATGGCCTCAGAATCTCGTAACATGTAGCACATTATAATGAACGACTTCGAATGGTGTCATTTTTATATTCGTGCACTCTGTGGCGCACTATCGTTTCATTAGCGAACGCAGGGTGCTGTGCTGTGGAATCTGCGCAACAGTAGCGTCCGCGCGATTTTATATCATTAAGCGCTTTACAGGCTTGAGGAAAGCTTTAAATTACGTTTCTGTTTGACAAGCTTTGTTGCTTTTACGTTGATCGTACTTATAATTCATCCAACAAACAGCGACACGCGAACGCAAAAAGTTCAGAGAGAGGCTCTTCTCAATTTACAGTGGCGCGTGTCTTGCTACACATCATTTGTTGAAGCTATTTTCTCTTATTTCTTACGCGCGTACGCACCGCTATCGGAGTAATTACTATAACTTGCGCACGTCCTGATCAGCCAAAGTGCCCCCGAAGTCCGCTTCCCACAAAAGATTTATTTTCTGGAGAACGTGTTCCTCGTACCTTTCATTTTGAATGGTCTCGTACGATTCTGTGAAACTCCATACAAAATCCGGAATGTTTTTGTGTTATATGAAGTCGGTGGCGTCTGCAGAAGAAATGTATGAGTTATATTTTTTTTCGGTGTTCTATATAATATTATGTTTTATTACTGCTGTACTGTGCAATCCCTTGCAATACTGCACATACGTACGTCTGAACATATGATTCTTAAGGCTCATATTGCCACGACATAGTGACTGCATTCAAATAACGCGCCCATCACCACGCGCACAGAGACATACATGGGCGCCGTCTAGTGTTGCGCAGAGATGATGATGATAGCACGAGAACCCAGCTGGCCCCTGCTGATGTGTGCCACCCGCTTGGGACTCTTCTTGAAGAAGTAGAAGAGGAAGACATCTTGCCGTTCTGCTGTAACGTGCTACGACCATAGTCCCTTTGAGTTGTGGGCACAGGTTCGCCCTTTAATAAATACGTTTTGTTATACCCCGAGTCCTTCAACATCGTTACATTTCTGGTGGAGGTGCTGGGTAATGAATCAAAGCCCTACGAACGCAAGACAGCGTAGCCCCGACCACCAGCCAGTTGATACTGCGGAGCCGACACCTGTGCATCAGAGGACCAGTCGCCGTCTTCGAGGTGATTCACCAGAATTCAGCCCACTCCATTTTGCGCCAAGGGGAACTCAGTCAATGGACGCCGCCACCATGACAAGTCATGAAACACCAGCCCAAGTGGTGATAAATCAGCCTCACCAGCCACCAGTATTTCATGGCGACTCGTATGAAGACGTAGAAGATTGGCTGAACCTCTTTGAGAGAGTGGCACGTTTGAACGGTTGGGACGAGAGAGAGAAGCTCCGCCGCGTATACTTTGCTTTGGAGGACTTCGCAAAGACGTGGTATGAAAACCATGAAACCTCCTTTACGACCTGGGATGAATTTCGGCGACAAGCTCTGGCGACTTATGCCAGCGCGGATCGCAAAGAAAAGGCGCAGGCTGCGCTCGAATCCAGGAACCAACTCACCAACGAAAGTGTCGCAATGTATATCGAGGACATGATCCGCCTGTTCAAGCGCGCAGATACCCATATGACCGAAGACAAGAAGCTACGCCACCTCATGCGTGGGGTGAAGCAAGAGCTATTCGCTGTTCTCGTCCGCAACCCACCACGAACAGTTGCGGAGTTTCATACGGAAACGACAGCCATAGAGAAAACGCTAGAACAGCGGGCTCGACAGTACAATCGAGACATAAACTATGCACCTGCCAATGTCTTCTCTGGACGCCAGCGAAGTGACATGGACGCTCTGCGAGAACTCATCAGGTCGGTGATCAGGGAAGAGCTCAGCAAGTTGCAAGCGCCTCACACTACTGCAACACTGTCTGTAGTCGACGTAGTACGAGATGAACTGAGGCAGATGATACGTGAGCCGGAGTGTGCGCCACAGCCGATCCAACGCATCCCAACGTACTCTGAAGTACTCAGACAACCCGCGGCGCACACCAATGCAGCAGTTGCGATGGCCTCTCCTTGCCCACAGACGGTACGCAGCGCACCTCGTACACTGGAACCGACGGCTACCTCCCTGCCACGAGCCCGTGGTGTAGCTCGCTACGTGGATCAAAGGCCCCGGAAAAGTGACATCTGGCGTGACCATGAGCGCAGGCCTTTGTGTTTCCATTGCGGGGAAGCAGGTCACTCGTATAGGTTCTGCCCTTACCGACAGGCAGGATTAAGGGGCTTTCCGTTGTACGCACCATGCCCTCGAAACGGTGAACGGCCAACGGAGATCGAAGAGTACTTGTCCGCGCGCCAGAGCCCACTCACTTCACGCCAACATCAGCCAAGATCGCCGTCGCCCAGGCGTTACCGATCACCCAGCCCACGTGCTTCTTCCGCACGGTCTGGGCACCGTTCTACAAGCCCACACCAGGAAAACTGAAGCAAGCGACCTGTGGAGGTGAGGCCGCTGATAACGACAGTTGCGAAGATCCTCCATTGCGGTTTCAAGGTGACGATGCTATGTTTACAGAAGATAAGCGCAGCAGTGCGAAGATTACTTCAGATTTGCGGTTGAAGATAGACAGATACGAGCTGAATGCTTTAGTTGACACCGGCGCTGATTATTCGGTAATGAGTCACAAATTGGCAAAAAAACTGAAAAAGGTTGTAACAAAATGGAGTGGGGCACAGATACGCACGGCAGGTGGCCACACTATTACACCGCTCGGCAGATGCACCTCAAGGCTCGAAATAAGAGGCTTTACTTACGTTGCTGACTTCATCGTGCTGCCGGACTGTTCAAGGGAGCTTATACTAGGAATGGATTTTCTGCAAGCCAATGGAGCCATAATTAATCTGCGCAGATCCAGTGTAACGTTTTCGACAGAACAAGCTATGTCGGTGGAGGAATCGGAAAAGCGACGTCTTACTGCTCTGCGCGTTGTTGATGATGACGTCACAGTGCCACCCTCGCTGTAGTGTAATGGTGCTTGTTGAAAATAAGGCATTTTGTGACCACGAAGGAATAGCGGATGGAAACGTAGAGCTATTTTTAAACAAAGGAATTTGCGTGGCAAGGGGTGTTGTTCACTTAACGAATGGCCGCTCAGTTGTCCTCCTTACGAATTTTGGGAATGAATGTCAGCACATCGCGCAAGGTATGGCTATCGCCTATTTCCACGAGTTCTGCATGGCGACTGAACTATGCAGTTTAGCGACAACGCCAACCACTCCACAAGAGACCTGCAACGTCGACGCATCAGTTAACGTCAACCATAGGCTCCCAGAATATCAAAAGAAACGATTGTTTGCCCTTATAAAAGAGTTTTCGGACTGCTTTTCAACGTCCTCTAAGGTGCGACGAACGGCTATTGCAAAACACAGGATTATAACAGAAGAAGCCACGAGACCGATTTACCAACACCCATATCGAGTATCGCAAAAGGAAAGAGACGTCATCAAGAAACAAGTGGAGGAGATGCTTTCAGATGACGTGATCCAGCCTTCCAGCAGTCCATGGGCGTCTCCCGTAGTGCTTGTTAAAAAGAAAGATAACAGCCTTCGATTCTGCGTCGACTATCGGAAACTGAACAGCGTAACGAAACGGGATGTATACCCTCTGCCACGTATCGATGATACACTCGATCGACTACGGAGTGCGAAATACTTCTCCTCCCTTGATCTCAAGAGCGGATATTGGCAAATTGAGGTGGATGAGCGCGACCGTGAAAAGACGGCATTCATAACCCCAGACGGACTCTACGAATTTAAAGCGCTTCCATTCGGCCTGTGCACAGCGCCAGCTACGTTTCAGAGAATGATGGACGCTGTCCTCGCGGGACTGAAATGGCAGTCCTGCTTGGTGTACTTGGATGACGTTGTCGTATTTTCCGCTACATTCGACCAACATCTAGAGCGACTCCGCACAGTATTAGAAGCCATTCGTTTAGCAGACTTGACTATCAAGCCAGAAAAATGCCACTTCGCTTTTGAAGAGCTTCGATTCCTCGGACACGTCGTCAGCTCCGACGGCGTTCGGCCAGATCCCGAAAAGACAGCTGCCATCGCGAAGTTCCCGACACCCAAAGACAAGAAGTCAGTACGTCGCTTCCTGGTTTATGCGCGTACTATCGGCGATTTGTGGAAAATTTTTC